GATACATTTGTAAACAGAATGTAACAACAACATTTTGAAAAAGAGCAGTGTAGTGAACACTTTGCAGATGCATCATTTTTGAATGTTATTGCTAGTCCATGATGAATATCCAAAACAGTTAAATATATATTCAATATATGTAGCTCAGAAAATATAATATTGTGAACATTCTAAATGCTAGTAAACCATTGTATCATTTCCTAATCAGCTAATCTCATTGGTTAATTAATTAACTAAAGGGCTAAAACACTGGAAAAGGTTTCTCTTGCCTCTAAATGATCGATCAGTCTTGGTCAACAAGCAACACAATGTCTGGAAAGAATACTAATTTGATATGTGTCCAGAGGATAGTCATTGACAACCACCACAAGGACATTAAACAACAAGGTTTTTCTGGCAAGACGCTGGTTGTTCACAGAGTAATTTATCCAAGAATTTTCATAGAAATCTAAGGAAATGGTCCTGCAGCAGCTTTTTAGCTTTTTTTAGCTTGAAAAATGAACTGAATGTACTAAACATTTTTTTTTTTGATATTTGGTACAATTGCTTTTTAGTTTAAATTCAAGGTCCTAGAATCTCAAGACAGAATAAAGAGGCACCACATCCATGTTGATTAAAATCACTGTGAAGTTTTCAGTCTCAGCAATGACTCAGAGTGCAATACCTTCTACTGGTGTTGGACCACTGTGTTTTCTGAAGTCAACACAGCCTCATCGATCAGGAATTCTGACAGCAATTCTGGTTCCTTTCTGCTAACCGGCTTAATAGAGATGCTGATTTATTTATTTATCTATTTATTTTCTTTTTTGCAAGATGTGGCAGCTGCCAGCACTCCCAAAGGTGATTACCTTGATCTTATTGTGTTTGACAGTCCAGTAGCTTGGCCTGACCTGAACCTCACAGAGAATCTATGGGGTATTGTCAAAGAGGACGATGAGAGACAGAGAAATCAAAGAGAGAGATGACCTGAAGTTGAATCACCTCCTTACCTTGTTGCATTGATGATAATAATAATGATAATTCACGGAAAAGGAGGCCCAACCAAGCATTCAGTGCAAGGATATTAGCATACTTTTAAGGCCCAACATTTCTTTTTGAATTATAGTACTGTTAAGTTAATGTTGTAATAGTTTTTGTTTTTCATCATGTGTAAGCCCTAATGTTCACATTTGCTAGAATGAAAGGCTTGATATATACTGTATGTATAATGAATCAATTTAATTTAATTTAAGTTTAACTTAATGAAATGACTGACATAGCCTATTCAGACATAGTGTATAAGTCTATTTTTGGAGTTCATAGTAACTTTACATATGTATAAAAAAAAATCTCTTTTTCAATTTGAAAACTAACCTTAATCAAAGATGTTATGATAATTTATTTGATTTATAGACATAATGATAATTAACTTGTTGGTTTAATGTAAACTGAACACAGATCATTTTCCTACTTGGTACAGATGAACAAATGTAAGACTAAATGTTCCATTCTGTAATATATAACAGCGTTTTCTTCAAAACTGATTTAAAAAGTATAGATTTTTGTTTCAAAATAAGTGTTTGATCATATAATTGCATCTCAGTCATTAAGAATGCGACAGAGAAGTTCCTTTATCTCAGTACCAATACTGAACACAAAAATAACATAGACTAATTTCATGGATTAATCCTCCTGTGGCCACAACAGAAGAAAAAAGTAACACCCAAAGCTGTTTTTCTTATATGTTTTTGTTAGTTGTTTTTTTCTGAGGTAAAAAGCTCAGATCTTCTGCTCTGCAAAATAATCCTTTTTTTCAGGTACATTTTGCCTTCGAAATAATTTGTTGAAAAAAAGCAAAACATCCGTGTTTCTCCTGATTGCTTCTGCTCCAGCATTATTTGTTACAGCTCAACCGGCAGCCCACAAACACTAATCCTGCTTAAGTCTTTCTCTTATTGATGTTTTAATGTCTGTTTTCTTTTTCAGTCCATGTCGAAATGACAGTTCCCTAAATGCTACAGAGACTACAGAAATCAAATGGTATGCTTTTTGCAAAATGAACTGTATGTGTTCATTAGAGTTTTAGTTGTAAATCATTTTCAGAGAATACTTAATAGGTGTTTGTGACTTAATGCAGGTGCCTAATTTTCTGGGTGAGCAGACGGGAAGCTGTGTGGGCTATACAGGTGAGGCTGTCTGCAACGCTTTGAAAGGGTATACATTAAATTGGACACCATGGACTAAATTCTGTGTAATTAAACACTAAACTCAGAGTTTCATTTATTAGACAAACATATAGCTTAGTGTATTTCCCCAGTGAAAGCTAAGAAGCCAGAGGAGATGAGTCAGCAGATACAGGTTCATCCATCTTCTTCTCATCTCTCCTGCAGGTGACAGTGGCCTTAATCGGTTTCTTGGAGACTATGCTTATCACATATCTCAGCTACAAGGTAAGGAACCGATTTGCTTCACAGTTTTTGTCTATGTGCTCTCTTATCTTATTGGGTGTTGATCAGGAATGTCTGGACCTCTTTTTTTTGTTTGTATAACTTAATACAATTAGATTACAATTTGCGTATACCGTAAGTAAGGTAAAGGGACAGTTTAGTCTTGATATCCCTCTGAAGGGTGCATATGAGAGGGCATAAGAGATCTTAGAGGTGAAGTTGTTGGGGAGTGTTGGCCTAGTGGTTAGAGTAGTGCACTTGTACTCTGAGAAGTTTGCTAGTACGGTACCCTGTTCAATCCCCACAGCCTGCACTCTGTGTCCCGGAGCAAGACCCTTAACCCCACACTGCTCCCTGGGCACCGCACAGTGGCAGTCCACTGCTCCTCAGGGGGATGGGTTAAATGCAGAGGTGAATTTCTTCAGTGTAAAATAAATAAAGTTAAATTATTATTAGAAGCTTCAGAGCTTGAAATTTGGTTGTGATTGGAGAACTGAACCTTTTTGAAAAAAGAGGAAAAAAGTCATTATCGGGGAGCAGATGCTAAATATTACATTAATCTTATAATTCTCCAGAAAAAGACATCTGAAAGTGTGGTATGCATTTACATTTAGGCCTATTAACTCTTTAATAATCGTAAAATAAAATTCACTGCTACAGATTGGCTTCAAACGTTGTCTAAACAGTTGGTTTATTAAATAACATAGAGTATGGCAGCATGAACTCCTCGGTACCTCGTCTTATGTCCTATGTGAGGTATCTGAGAAGACAGCAGTAAAATATCAAAGAAGGTGTCATTGTGAGGGGAAAGTGTAACTTTTGACCTCATCAACGCACATTACCTCAAACACATTGTGAAACATGATATAGGTAGCATTATGATGCGGCCTTTCTTCAGTAAGGGTTGGGAGACTCTTCAAACCTGGAAAATAGCAGGAAAGTAGGTAGGGTATAAAAGCTGCAGATTAAATACCGAGGGCAGAGTTTTTACCTCCAGTGGCAGAACAACCCTAAACATACAGCCCATGATTCAAACAACGTATTTAGCTGTTATATGTGTTAGAATGTCTTTGTCAGGATATAGATTTACATGCAGTTAAATGTTTAGACATAAAAACTGGTTTTCATACAGCAGATGATCTCCATGCAGTCTAAATAAAATAGTAAAATTGTAAATGGCCTATACTTATATAGCGCTTTTTCAAGTCAGGAGATTTGACCAAAGCGCTTTACACTACATTCAGTCATTCTCCATTCACACACACTCACACACTGACTTAAGTTTAAGCTATTTTCAAAGAACTGGCTAAAAATCTTCTTCTAACTGAATTGTTAGCAAAAGTGGTAGAAGCCCACCCCAAGGACTTACAGCTTTAGTTAGTGAAGGGTTGTTCAGCACACTGTAGACCCTGACGGCAGTGAATAGAATTTCATACCATGCTCAGATACCTCTGTTGTTTCAGGGTTTTGAAAATGATTTACTGTTTTTTTTATTTGTTTTTGTTGTATATGCTGTTGTTTTTTACTTATGCTCTGCTTTTAGTAGAGAGGTTCAGCTGCTCATAAATCTTATTGCCATTGACTGAACTTTGTAGTTGTCCTGAATATCTCCTCTTAGGGAAAATAAAGGATTTTTTTTTTATAAGATGAACTTCAAGGGATATGAATACCGAGGCAATGTTTTGTATAAAAAAGTCCAATTGACATCCTGAACTTTGTTAAAACAGCCGCTTAACAGCTTCTCTCTGCTCTGAGGAAGGTAAACATATTTGACAATCGCTTTAAACTTCCACCCTGAGGTGATCTGGGGAAATGTATATACTTAATACTCCGTTAATCCTTTAATTTTCGACCATGTCACGCTCTTCTTGCCTCAGTTGGTTGTTTTAATGGAACGGCTTCAAAATATTTAGCTGTTTTTAACAGCCCATAAATAAAAGCCTTGAATTATTCTGTTGCAGCAAGCGTTTTATTTGCTCCTTTGCTAAAACTTAAGCATAGCTTTATTCCCTGCATGTGAGCAGCATACTGTTTCAGTCCTTTAGGATGTGTTCTCACTGCATCTATACTGCTGCTACTACTTACTGCTATTATATTTTGTACTACTTAGGAAATTATATATATTGATTGATGGACCCTCTGTAGTTGCATTCTTATAAAACAGGGTTTAAAAACTCACCTGATTGGAATATTCATCATTTTTCTGCCTGAAATAATAACCTTACTGGTATATTCAATCATCTCCCATACATTTCGTTTCCAGGGGAACATTTGGGAGCAGATCTTCCAGATATCCTTCATATTGGAGATGATTAATACAGTACCATTTATTATCACAGTGAGTAATTCATCTTATGTTCTCTATTTTATTTATCCTGCATAAAACTGTGTTTTCACAATTCGAAATGGAAACTTAGTGGAATGTTGTCAACATAAAATCATATACCAAAAAACAGTTGTTGAAACCATTACTGCTGAACGAACACTCCTTCACATGAAGCTAAAGGTGATTTATCGACACAAACAAAGTAAACAAATGATACAACAAAAGGAAATGCTTTGCTGTATATTTTACAAAGGTAATATATAAGGTGTGCCATGTTTACCAACAGATTTGTTTGTACTCCTAAACATGCTTTAAATCAGTGCAGGGTGATCATGAATGCATTCTAGACTAGGGATACACGATATAATCGGCCCCCTATCGGTATCGGCCTGTATCGGCCTTAAAACTGAATATCAGACATCGGCCACCCCACCGATATTTAATCCGATATTTGATCAGCTTCTGAGTTTCTAAAGTCTAAAAAAAAAAAATACTACTTCTTCTTCTTCCTCAAAAACTTATTTTTTACAGACTTAAAAACTTCTAAAGACGAGGGAAAAAATATTGATACATTAAAATATCACAATATCTTCATATGCTGATATATTGCCATTTAAAAACACCATATCAATCTCTTTTACTAATGAAATATTGCTATATGTCATCGTTATGCTACGAAATCCCCCAAAAATTCACGAAATTTTGCCATATTTTTATATCTCGATATATTGACGCAGTATCGATCTATTTTACTAACAAAATCTCTTAAGAATTTGCAAAATATCACGAGAGTTTGTAACAGAACGATGAAATTTCACGAGATTTTGAAAGTAAAATAGATCCATACCGCGTTTTTAACGATGAATTTGATATCAGCATATGAAAATATATTTGAGTATATTATTTTTCAAAGTGTCAGAAATGGATAACAAAACTGCTATTTTCAATGACTATTTTTGTCCAGCTTTAATATCGGTATTGGTTATCGGCTACATGAGTTTTAAAATATCGGCATATCGGATATCGGCCAAAATCCCAATATCGTGCATCCCTATTCTAGATGGTAAGGTTGAGAACAGTTGAAAATGCAGACAGATGATGCAAATGGTAAAAAAGACGGGCAAAACTAAAACTTCTGAACCCATTTGAGCTCATCTCCAAAACTAAATAATTAGCTTTTCTATCTGACCATATTTCACTTTCTGGACGAGAAAGGACTTAATTCGAGAAAACAGGAGGGACCTACAGAAAAGCCAGACTGCAGGTGAAAACCCACAGTCTGGTGATGGATGTATTGGTATTAATACTGTTATCAGCCAACAGTTATTTTATAGACATTAATCTGATAAGTTAAAAAAGGCAAATATTAATAAATAATATTTATTTCCATGTAGAAGCTGTTTTGGTTTCAGGAGGGGGAGGGAAGAGGAATCGGGTCAGGTGGTCTTTGTTTGATCATGTGACAATGATTGAGATGCAGCTCAGGATTGTTGGCTTTTAACTGAGGTAGAGAAGCAATATCAGCACTGTAGTTGGGCTTTCATGGTGTCCAAAGTTTAGGAAATGTATGAGATATATTGGTAAATATCAGTTATCGGCAGGAGTTACTGAACATGTAGATTATTTCTGGAAAGCAATATAGTCCCAACCATCTTAACCGTAATATAGTCTTAACCAAAGCAGATATATGTTCTAGTGGCTTTGTTTGTTTGTTTTTTTTGTTTTTTTTTCCTTTTGCAGTGAGGCAACATTTTTTTATTTGTTCTTTGAGGGAAGCTTGAAAACTCTACATATGTCAAAGAGCTTCTATAATGGATAAAGTGTGGTACCAGCTAGAGCATGTATTGAGAGGATCATTTTGTTTTAAGCCTAAATAAACAAGGCATTCAGATTCCCTCTTCTTTCGATCCAAACATTTCTAGTTGATCGAGAATTTTTTGCATTTTAACATAAGTTAAGTAACAGACATGCAACCTGTTAGAAGATACAGATTGAACAAGATACATTTTAATGTAGAGGTTTATTTTTTTTTTACAGTGATTGCTGCACAGGGTGCAAAAAAGTGTTCAAATTAAGGGTAGCTTTTTTTTGGACAGTACCATATTGAATCTTTAATGATGCTGATTATTTAGCTTAATAGGGCAACAATGAAATACGATATTTAAATAGGAATTTAGTAACAAGGATTTGGAACTTATATCACTTTTACAGATTAAAAGTTGTACAAATGAATAATGCCCTGTATTTGTTTATCTCTAATCCCCTGCAGTATATGAAAAGAATATGACTCAACAGCAATCTGTTTAACGCTGTGTTTGTCTACTTTTTTCTCCTTTTAAGATCTTCTGGGCTCGAATAAGAGACATATTTGTTCCTGTATTTCTTAATTGCTGGCTTGCCAAAGCTGCGCTGGAAAATATGATTGTAAGTCTCTGTACCAGAACCAGATCCTGTGCACTTTAGCATTAGACATTATGTTTTTATAATTATGAAAAATGGTAAGATGAATACGAAAGCACTACAATAATGGCATTTCTCAAGTTTATTTTCCCTCAATCTTCCTACGTTTAAAATACTTCTTTTAACTTTTAACGTTCTTCAACTTTTTGAATAGTTTGGTACCAAAGATATAAAGCAAGAGGTCAAACTGTTTACTTTTTTTTTTCCACATTTGGAGCCAACGCTCAGATACATCAGTGTAAATTATTTTTGAATATGCAGGTATTTACACAATCTTTAGTATTGATCTTGTATAATATTAAAACTTACCGGGAAACTGGACGTTTCAAAAGTTGTAAGTAAAATTAACCAAAAAAAAAAAATTACCAAAAAAAAAAAAATGAAATGTGCCTTTAGTTTTTGATATTAACTGAAATAAATAAACATTTCAACATTCATTTTAACTGAGTGTATGCTATTAAATTATTTTTTACAAATAAACACTTTAAAATAGTTATTGTTATAAATTGTTTTTTTCTCTTAATGCTCGGGTGTCTAACAGAAAACAGTTTGTATACATTTTACAATTTATGATTTAAGCACTGAATTTACTTGAAATGATATGATATGATATTTACTACAGAAGAAGACAGATTGAAATTCCTTCCTATCTTTCTTTGGTAAACATTTTTTTACAGTCTAAGTATTTTAATCATAATTTTTCTAAGACAAACCAAAGCATCACTGTCTTTGATTTCTCACCTTTCCATGGAAACTTTTTTGCCTTATTGTGAACTGAGTGCCTCTTTGAAACATTGTTCTGGTTATTACAACCCTAGATCTACATTCTTCCTGTACAAATGAATTACAATACATTTATAGCTAATAATAATAAAATCTTCATACAGTCGATGCTTCTGCGGGTTTTGATGGATCATTTCCCTCCCAGCAGCTATACAGTTTTAAAGCAGATTGACATAATTAGCTGTTGATTTTAACACAGTCTCACTGAACATAATTTAATTGGTTAGGCTCGTTTCTTCCTTATGGTTTAGTTGATATCACTCTTTGGGTAAATGCATCTAATCTGTTCATGAGGCAGTGCATCATTTAATAGCAGTAATACTGCCAGCTTCCATGTAACACTGTTATCAGTAATGCTGTACTCTTTGATGAATTAGTCTGCTGTTTAATTAGTTGGCCTTAAAAGCTAAAACCAGTGATTTATTCTGAAGCAGTTGGCTGACATGTTTGGAGAGAAGATGCACTCACGACTACATAAAAAAAGTTATTTTCAGGGGGCTGAAGGCTCGATATTTACCCATGAGGTGTTATGGAAATGATACAGAAAGTTACGCAGCTAGACATGAAATGATGCACAAAATTCTGAAGACGTTGGATCGTACTAAGTCTGAGAGGAATTGGGTCATAATCTAATGAGTGTTATATGCAATATCACTGGGATTCAGACAAGGCAATGACAGAATGAGCGCTTCATGCCAAAGCTGTAGTTAGCAGATGGTTAAACCTGAGGCCAGCAGGGAGGAGGTGGCAGCCAGAACACTCTAACAAGGAGAACCACTCATTATCTGCCATATATGAAGGCCAGTTAACATAAAAGCAGCAGAATAGTGAATTGGATTTAAATGTACATCAGCTTTAGGACATTTTAGGAAGCTTTAAGAAACTTTTAAATTTCGAGATGTCTCTTAGTATATCTTTGCACCAAAATGTTTATTAGTCGGTCTGATGCAATACTCTTAATATTGTGTTTTCATTAACTATAAGCAAAACATTGTTATAATTAACAAAAATATATATATATTTTTTTTTAGTAATTAATCTATATAATTAACTTTACTTAGTCACTGGGTTGAAAAAATATATTAAATGAATAAGATTCTAGTTATTGAAAGGGTCAGTAATATACAGAAAGCAAAGGATACTATGCAGTTTAGAAATTGGAATAGCTTTGTAATATTATAGAGTATCTACAGCAGAAAACACCAGCATGACAATCTTCTCTTCTGTGCCCAGAATGACTTCCATCGTGCCATTCAGAGGACGCACTCCGCAATGTTCAACCAGGTGGTCATTCTCATCTGCACCTTACTGTGTCTGGTGTTCACAGGGTGAGTCAGCATCTGGTTCTTAAGCATCTCTTAGCTTGATATCCCATTTCTGGTTGTTGTAATAGTTGGGGGACCATACTGTACATGCATCATTTTGTTTATTTGTTGTTGTTTTTTTCTGCAGGATTTAAATGCAATGAAATACACCCCAAAAAAAAGCAAAATATAAGCTGAAAACTTTACATTTGCGTTTACTCTCTGCTGTAGTTAAACAGGTCAAAAACAGCCAGTTTAAATAAAGAAATAGAAAGATAAGAATAGCTGTTATAAAAGTCCTATTTAATGCTTTCAAAAGCCTGCCGAAGTCAACTAAAGGCACGCATATAATAAAATATTGCTGTTGCTACTACAGAGTTTTTATTTTTTTAATGAAATATTGGTTGTTGGTTTTTTTTGGTGCTATTTTTTCGAACCAGAACAAAAACACTTCATTGTTTTTCTGTGTCACTGCCTCTTGTCACACTTTTTGTATTGGTGCCATCTATTTCATGATTTCACCCTAGAGCTTCTGCAGCCTGGTATCAGCAAGGCATCTCGCCACTTCTGGTGATCTGGCTGTTCTTTAGGAGGCTAAACTAATTTTGAGACTCATCTCAGCTGAAAAACAAATTTTTGTGACTTATGCACTAGCTAAGAAATTAACAGTTACTCTCAGTGCGCAGATTAGGTGCTAGAGGAGCAACTTTGTCTCATCTCTAAACAGCTATAACTGCACTCTCACTCTCACCTCACTGCATGTAGAGGTTGTTTATTGAAAGGACAGCATAGCGGGTAAACCATCGCTACATGTAACTAGGTGATGGACACTTATTTTTTCAGCAAAGGAGGGGTTGCCACTCAGCGAGCAGAATTCATTAGGATTAATCTGACGTGCATGAATTAAACAAAATAACACTTTGGTTGTGATTTGATGAAGGAAAATCATCATAGCTATTAAATGTGAAAGAAAATACTGTAGTTTGCATAATGAAGGTCATGCAACCAGGTGGCAATAGAGGCCCAGATCCTGCTCCTGTGCAGTCATGATGTGTGCCTCTGCTATTCTTCACTCCGACTCTGTCTAGCCATTGGTAGGATTTCCTGATATCCGCCACTTAATTTATGTTCCGGTGGTACATCCCATGTAGAGGCTTATCCTCCCATGATGGAGTCTCTGGCACCTCATCTTCTGTTCCCCATTGTCTGAGACATTTGCTGAGCACACCAGACAAGACCCCAGGTGCAGACTGTGCAAAGAGGCTCCTGAGACAATCCAGCACATAACTGCTGGGTGTAAGATGCTAGCAGGGAAAGCTACATAAAGACGCACCGAATGGTAATGGCAAACCAACCTTACATTGCGGTGGTCGACAAAAAGCAGTGGAAAGCCGTTGTGGTTGACGTAGCAATACCAAGTAACTGAAATATCAGGTAAAAAGGAACATGAGAAACTAGAAAAATACTAGGGGCTCAGAGAAGAGCTGGATAAAACCTGGAGGGTCAAGCCATCAGTGGTACTCGTGATCATTGGGGCAGTCGGGGCAGTGACCCCCAAACTTGAAGAGTGGTTACAGCAGATCCCTGGAAATACATCAGACATATCGGTCCAGAAGAATGCAGTTGTAGGAACAGCAGAGATACTGCGCACAACCCTCAAGCTCTTTTATTGTAATTTTTTTTTTCATCTGAAACACCCCAAGATTAACTGAAAATCTATTTTATGAGCAGATTTTAGAAATAAAACTCAACTAATGGAAATGCAGCATATTTCCTTAAAGGTACCGAAAACACACAAAAAATGCTTATCATATATTTTGTTTCATTTGTTTCTATAAAATCCATTTTAAATAAATGAAAGCAAAAAATGACTTATTTGCTGTTTATATTTTAAACCCTTCACTGCTTTATTTTTGAAATGTCTTAAGGAGCCTTTCTGTGATCCATAATCTATTATAAAAATATATATATTTTATGTGCCATTTTGACATTATTGAGGACATTCACAGGACAGATCTGAGCTCCCTCTTTGTTGAAAGCTTCCCTAATATTTATTTTCCACTTATTCTCATATTATTGCTACTCCAATTTGGCCTTTTTCAATCAAAATGTTTATTTTCTTACTCTTGCGTGGGTCTGAGGTTTCAGGTACACTTGTTGTTTGTCTTTTGTGAGCCATCTTCACAGACACTCACCCCTGTTTTCTCGCTGCGGCAGAGATTTAACAAAGAAAAGTGGTAAACGAGAGCGTGCAGCGTGTCACATCCTCAAACAGCCAGGAGAATTTGGCCGCTATTACTCGAACTGAACTGAATGATGGAGCCTGTAGAGGAAAATGCTGGGAAAAGGCTCATTTTACATTCTGAGCATTTGTTTGAAATAAATAAATATATAGATAAATAAATAAATGGTAAACTTTTCCAATGCACCTATAAAAAAAAATTGCATTCGGAAAGCTAATGTTTGGGTCAATGTTCTTTTTTTACAATTGTTTTTCTTTAGCTCTAATATTGCATGACAAGTTTTTATTTACTCAGAAACGTTTTTGTTTTGTTTTTTCTTATTTGCAACTGATGTTCAGCCCGTCTTGTAATTCTTGTGCAGAATTTACATCTAACAATAAAACACTTCAACTCTCAGTAGTTCACCTATTCTTTATAGGATGTGTTATCGATTTGGACTTTTATAGCACCAATTTCGTTTTAATCTAACGTGGCTCCTCCTTGGCCCTGACCAACACCCTGACAACTTCATTTCCCATGTCTCAGGGTTTGATTAAATCTTCAACAAAAAAAACACATTAATTGTCAGAAACATTGAAGGAGATTACCGAAGGAAGAATCAATGTTGTCACCTTAAAATAAAAATCGAGGACATGAGGAGGAGGCGACGCTGCATTGGCTTTGGTGCCCTTTGGTCCTGATCAAATTGAAGGCTAAATTGTGATCCTGAAGCAACTTGTCTCAATGAGACATGTATACGTTTAGACATAAGCTAGAAGGAGATCCTCTCAGTGCCATTAACTTGGGTAAAAATGAACAGTTTCACTATAAGATGGTGTTTACCCTTTAAAAAAAGAGTAAAATGTGATGGAATTGTTTTGTTTAATAGAATAGCGCTGTCACTTTTTTATATTTTGCTTTCTTTTTCAACAATTTGTATTAACAGTTAGATTTTTAACTTTTTCTATAGAGTTCTTTGACATAGTGGCCTTGATTCAGCTGAAGCTCAGAAACAGATAAGGAAAGAACGATGCTACACAGCTTCATTCTCTATTCAGCCACAGAAAACTGTCACTTTCTCTGGTATTTCATTGAGGAGCTTTAAAAACTAGGATCTTAAATGTCAGAACATTTCAGAAGTCTTAAAAGAGTAATTTCTAATACCTTGGTGTAGCTGTATACCTTATAAAGTGTTTTTATTTCAATCGTCCTAACCTGAAGGATATTGGTCACCCGTTCTTTCTGCAGAGCTTGTGGAATTCAGCACCTTGAGAGAGCTGGAAAGCACTTATCCCTGTTTGACTCCTTTTATTTCTGCATCGTCACCTTCTCCACTGTGGGCTATGGGGATGTCACTCCCCAGATCTGGCCATCACAGCTATTGGTGGTAATTCTCATCTGCGTTGCACTGGTAGTCCTTCCACTCCAGGTATGAACCACGTTATCGATGAAACAAACTTTATAAAAATATATTTTGGAATCCATTCACTTCCTGCTTCCCTAGATGTCCTTTTTTTTGAGGTTATCAAATATTAGCAGGATACTTTTTGCAGTTGATGCAGCCTGATGATAAAATCAGAAACTAATAGGGAGCTTAATTTTTTAGACCTTTTGGCAAATACAGGAGTTTCTGCTTCCTAATTAAATCTTTGGTTAAATTATATGCTAGTTAACACTTGCTCCATCATTCCCAAAATTTCCTAATGAGAGGTTTACATAAAATTAACTGTTGGACAAGAAATTGATTCCTCTTTCTCTATTCTTAACCATTGTTTCTATTTCAATGTATCAGTTTGAAGAACTAGCATACCTGTGGATGGAGAGCCAGAAGCTGGGGGGGAACTACAGCCGTCACCGGGCACAGACTGAGAAACATGTTGTGTTATGTGTCAGCTCACTCAAGATCGACCTGCTGATGGATTTTCTCAATGAATTCTACGCTCATCCTCGGCTGCAGGTATCTGTCTTTACAGCTTGGTTGTCTCAACTGTGGTCCACTTTAAGACATGTCAATTTAACAACAAGGAAACCCTTGTAAGTAGAAAATAAATCAGCTACAGTAGGATTATGAGTAGGAGTACATCATAGGATAACTGGGTTCTTACAAAATCCTTAAGAAAAGTAATTTCGAGTTAGATGACGAAATATCCCCAAACATAATCTAAGTAGTAAGCTTAGTCCTCTGGTATTATCTCTAAATGGGAAAATTTATCAAGGTTATCTCTTTTCAGTGGATATGAAAAGTATGCAATCATTTGTCCAAAGTGATTGCATACTTTTTATACTAGTTGTGAAACTATTTAAGCTGTTACTGCTGCTATGATTGGCTAAAAAATCAGCATGGGAGGTAATTACCCAATCAGCTCAAAATATTGTACTGAATTTCCTTCCTTTTGCAAAGAATTTGTACATGAAGCTATCAAGATCAAGTCGTGTAGTTCAATTTGAATTCTATATGGAATCGATCTTAAAATAAAAGGAAGGAATAAAAAGGAATAAATATTAGTTACTTGTCAAAATATGTTGCTTTTGAACCTGTTCTGTTTTACTGTATTTTTTCATTCCTTTAGTTTTCTTGGGAAGAAACTATTTTATTTTGCCCTGCCAAACACAATGAATCCAATATAGTCTGTTGTTCACTGATATATTAATAATGAAATAAGGTAGTAATTGTAAGGTAAAGGTATTACCCAGAGAACCAGAGTGATGATGCACATGTAAATAATTACTGTTACGTATGTTTTATTGCTTGCAAATGTAAACAGCTCAGATGTTACGTTTAGGATCAGCACAAATGAAAGGGAAGAAGAAGCTTACTTTTGCTTGTTTTTGTTATTTCACCAATTTAATGTGCAACACCTTTTTGTCTACGTATCTGTAAGACGAGCTAGATCAATTAGACATGATGTGATCATTCGAAGGACTTAAAGTGTTTAGCTATTATCAGGGTTCTCTGTTTTGACTGAAATAAAGGACTAGATATTTTCACATCATGTTGCATTACACCTTAAAGTGTAGTCTAAATTGTACTAATGCTAAGATAAAAGTCCCTCGGCGCTCTTCCCATCAGCATGTTCCTGATTATTGTAAACCTCCACTTACTGAGGTTTACAATCATCATTGTCTTACTGAGTCTACATTCATGTTTTACCACTTACATTAGCCTGAGTGATTCTGCTGGCCTCTCTATGCACCTCATGCACCAGTCTCATTCTACTCTTGACTCTGCAGCTGCTCTTATGAACAGTCGCCCCTGCTGCACCCCTGTTCGAAACACTTAGTATAACTATTTGGTTTATGAATTGGGGAGACTGATGGTCCTAGTCTGAACAACCACTCTGGACCTTTCTAGATGGATGCATTTCCCTTCTGGTTATGAACGTAGTTCTTTTGCAAAACGGGAATTGCAAAACTGAACACAGTTGTACACTGAACTGCAGTTTATGGATCAGTTTTGGGTTTTTTTTACCCACTGACACTTGTTGGGTCAAGAACCTCCTGATAAAAAGAGCGTCTTTATAAGTGCGGAGTGATTTTTTTTTAGGGGGGGTCAGCTTCCTGACAGCCTGGAGGATGCGGCTGTGGGGAGAGAGTTTAGCTTCCTGACAGCTTGGTGGATGAAGTTTTCTGCGAATCTGGTGGAGCTGGCAAGAGCCTGAACAGACAGTCAGTCTATGAAAACACACACATGCACAAAGACTGTCTGTCTGTCTCTCTCTGTCTCTTTGTCTGTCTCTCTCTTTCACATACAAATGCATATGTCCTGCTTTAATCCAGTTTCTGACGAATGGAACTGGGTCGAATTTGTCCAAAGGAGGTCTGTTGAAGTCCACAAACAGGAGTGAAGACATGCTGTCTTCCCGCAATCTGTTCTGCGTCTGGTTGCCCGTGTTATTAATTGCGGAAAAGCACATGGCTAATTTGCATACGCGAACAGGATTGGCTGGCTCCACTTCGCAAAAAACAGACCATATTTGTGAATAAAGGTTTGGAATTTTAATACTGGACATGTTGAGCTTAAAACATTTTAGTGACCATTAGTTACAAAAAAATATTTTATTTTTAATTTTTTTGACACAATAAGACCCCTTTAAATTTTGCTTTTGAGGCTTTCAGGGGGTCTAATGGGTTAATTGGGGGGTCGAGCCCCCCCCCCAGACCTCCGTATTTTGCACTCTGATTACCCAACTCCCTAATGCTGTATGTCTTTTTTTAAACATAAAACCCTGAGATTCCGGCATCCACAAAAACATATAAGCATTGGACAATCGTATCTCAGTCAGATGGAATCCCTGAAGTAAATATGAAGGAAAGTGATTCCAACATCAACACCCACCTTCGCAAATGTTTTCAAACACAAATGGGTAGAACTAAACATATATTTTATTATTCCAAAACTGAGGAAGCTCAGGTGCACCACTAGCAAAGTGTCAGGAAAATGCTAGCTTGCAGATAAACATAAAAGTAAAATATACAAAACAAGTAGAATAGTCTAAGAGCAAACTTGCAACACAGACAATTCTGTACAGTTCTTGAAAATAGCAAACTAAGATTAAAGAAATATGGAACTGGGTATGGTGATTAATATGCAAAATGTGTAGCAGACTATGAGCGCATCTTACACTAGATCTACGCTTTAAATGTCTCATTAATCTTCAACATTACTTTAAAAAGCAATTATTGAAACTCAGAAAACAAATTTTGTTTGCTTGATTGCAGGACTATTACGTGGTGATCCTTTGCCCTACAGAAATAGACATTCAGGTTCGACGCATCCTGCAGATTCCTCTGTGGTCTCAGCGTGTCATCTACCTGCAAGGATCTGCGCTCAAAGACCAGGATCTGATGAGGGCCAAGTAAGTTATCACCTTCCCCTCATTTGCAGTAAGGTGAATATTTTAAATCATGCTCGAAGAAAGCATTAGAAACTCACCTTTTTTTTTTTAAAAGTGGTCCATTGGAAAAACAGATCCACTAACTTTGCAATTACAGATTGCTTTAGCCACAAGTCATCTTGGCTGCCCTCTGCTTGCACATCACTGTAATAGAATTTAACATCATTCTCTGCACAGAGCAAAGACTAAAGGCATTAACAGGAATAAAAAAGGTCCCAACTGTAGTTTTTTTTTTATAGCTAGATATTGTTTAATATCTTTTAACGACTGAGTCATAATGTGTTGATGTGTTTTGGGAAATTGCTTCGTGAGGCACTGTAAGGCTCAGTCAGCGACCCACGCATGTGTAAAGGGTACAGTCCCTAATGTTGGTTTCCTTAGTTGGCTGTCTTCAATGCGTTTCACACTCTTTTTGGTCAAATGTCATAAGTAACATACAACTATTAAAGAGTGAATAAGGAAATGTGTTTCTTTGCTTTAATATTTAGGGATCTTCCATGATTTTCAGCCTTTTCACAAGTGTTCAAAACATACTTTTTTATATTTTAACTCTAGATGTCATATGGCATCATTGTAGCGTAAACATGACACCCCCTACCCTCAGTGCACATTTTGTATGATTGTGAAAAGGCTGAAAACTGTGAAGGGCCCCTTATAGAAAGCAATTAACGTCATTTCCTGGATGGAGACTTGCTACACTGCGTGATTCTGTGAGCCCATTTCCCCCTGTAACTTTGTAAGCTGATCTTTCCCTCCTGATTTGCTGCAACTTTCACAATTCAGTGCCATCTAACTACTGATTCTTTCCATCTAAGCTTTGGGCTATTAAACTTTAGAGCTCATATCTGGGAACATAAGCATCCTTCCAAAACCAGGCACCTGTTTACCTGGATATTACATTTTATGCTTGCCTGAACCAGGCCATAGATCCTCATTTTTGTCTGTGGCTGATTTAGGATGGATGATGCTGAGGCGTGCTTCATCCTGAGCAGCCGCAATGAAGCCGACCGAACAGCTGCTGTAAGTGAAGTAAAGCGACTTCTAGCATGAACCCTTTCATAAACTGCATGAACAAAGAAAAGGGGCATTTCCCTTCATGTCATAATTTACCCTTAACTTACCTTTAAGCTCTAAGATATTTACATATCCAGAACAATGCTTTGCAATAAAGATGAGGCAGTAAATTCAGTGATTATCTAAGCATGAGCATTAACTTAAAAGGATATTTCTCCTCCTGCAGGATCACCAGACTATTTTGAGGGCTTGGGCTGCAAAAGACTTTGCTCCCAACTGTCCTCTATACGTACAGATACTGAAACCGGAAAATAAGTTTCATGTCAAATTTGCCGGTAGGTACAAAAAAATGAAATAAAATACATTCAAAAACCACAACTGCATCATTTTATAAAGGATTGTTAATGAATTCCTTTCAACAGATCACGTTGTATGTGAAGAAGAGTTCAAGTACGCCATGTTGGCACTCAACTGCGTGTGTCCAGCCACGTCCACCTTAGTGACTCTGTTGGTTCACACCTCCAGAGGACAGTAAGTAAACACACACCTTCTGCTTTATAAATGGATTCTTTTAAGAGCCTTTTTTTATTGTTTAACTTCAGTTTTTTTATGTAAAAAAAAAATATATACATATATGTGTATATAACTACAAGCATTGTTACCCATTTTCCTCTGTCTATCTGTCTGCCATATAAAAACATATTTTAGAGTAGATTTGCATGAAATTAAATACTCAAATCCAGTTCACTTGGTATACAGCACCTAACTACCACAGGCAGCCATGCTGAATGTTCTGACACTCAGCAGAGCATGTATAAATAGAAGTGACAAACCTGTAAAATTTTCTATAATTTTTAGGATGATACTCAGATTAAGTTTGTGTTTGTCTCATTAACCTTTATAGTTTTCCCCTACTCGGCTCAGATCATCACTGGGTCCAAACAACAAATAGCAATCAATGCTGAGCTTGAGGCCTTGGTTATGTGCTTCATAATGGTCTCTGTTCTTGCTCTCTCACTCTGCTTATGATTCATAGGAACAAAATTAGCTTGACTTGATTGATTAATCAAAGGAATGTTTTTTTTTTTTCTGTGAAAGTGTCTTTTTAGAGATATAGACTTAGACTGATGGATGTCAGCACATCAGAAAGCATATCAACCTGTTTCTTCCTTTAGGCTCTAACCCTTCCTTCTCTCACCACATCAGAAATACAGCACATAGATGTTATCATGGAGATTCTAACATGCTTCTTCTGCCTGTGAAGGACAGAGACGTCTAAAAATTGACTAAAATCTGCAAAACAGATTTTAGTCAATTTGTTTCAGAATCTAAGATGATTCAAATTTTTAATTAATACTTTGATTTCCAGCTTTGTTACATAAATGACCCCTGACTGTTGTCTTTAGGGATGTTTGAACACTGTTCTTCATACTTTAAATGTCGATATTTTTGCCAGTAACCCAAAAAGATTCAGCCTAGAAGATTTCGGGGGAACCTAATCCTAGGGTCGGTGAATTTTATACCGAAACATAATAAAATCTTTAGTTTTTTGACCTTCTCAAGACTAACCACAATCCTCGCACTAGTGGATGATAAGTTTGTGAATTTGATATGACTTCATTAAATTTGGCTAATTTGATAGGTTTTGTTCATTTTAAGAGAGGGAATAAAATGGAAAAAGAGAACCTCGCCTTTAAGAATCGGAGGGATCCGTTGGTGTCTTCTTTTATGGATTTACATTCTACTCGACCATGTCTAGTCCCCTCAGTCTTCTTGGGTAACTGTTTTTGAAGATGCCTATATTTCCTGATGACTCAAGAGACCATCCATATGAGTAGGCCCTTAGAGACACTCATCCTCCTCTTCATCTTGTGCCAGACGAATTGAGATTTAAGGATCGGAATTTATTGTCTCAAATCTTGGGAATAAATCATAAAAATCATGTGGCCTAAACATTGCTTCAACTCGTCAAATATTGACGTTTGGTGTTGCCCCCATCTTGTCAGCATCTGACATGATGGGGGTAGCCCTCTCGTTATTCTGTGATGTAGGGGGTGCATGACAGGCTGTGGTGGAACCATTTTTGATGTACAGCAAAGTAAAAAAACGAACAATAACCCATTCCCCTAAAGCTAAAGAATATCCATCTACTATAACACTGTTTGTAATGAGTGCTGATCTTTATGTACTTATTTTTACAAGTATTCACTCAAGCACAGCTCCTGCTAGACGGGGCTGAATGCAGGTCTTAACTTACTGACGCCTCAGAGGCTTTTTTCCAGCTTTATATGTTTTGGTAATATACTCCCTCAGACTCAAGGTTATTTGAACAAATGCTTTGGTTTGTGAGAAACTGTCTATATTATCTGTGAGAATCTCTCCCTGTGCTTCTTAAGTAGTTAGGGCAAACCTGTGAAATTCCAAACAGGCATATTAACAGGAATTTTAGCAGCACTGTATCTGTGCTGCCCTGCAAGGTATTAAATAAAATGTTGGCTTAAATGGAAAAAACAGAACCTTTATTTCTTGTTAAATTAGACATTTTTTCCATCAGCACGTATACATGTTACCATGTGCTCCTGAAGCTACCAACTTAACAATAACTGCAGGCTACTTTTTTTTTCAAGTGCGGTGTATCTCACGTGATACAACGTGTCATTTACCCTGTGCATCCACATTCCCCATTAAAGTCAGGATGTGACGTGCAGGAAGCTTTGACCAAAAAGTGTTAATATTTAACGAGTTGGCAGTGAAAATGTGTTTTATTTAAATTAGACAAAAACTACTGTCCTGGTCAGAAGTCAGCATCCACTCATTATTGGCACTGATTGATGTGCTGCTGACCATTTGAAACAATAATATTGTAAAAATGGCAGAAGTACACAAGGCCTGTATGAGAATTGTTGGCGATCGTGACTGCAGTAGATAAAAAAAGGGTTTGATTGACACCATTGATTTCACTGACTAATACAATGTAGAGAAATGGGTTTATAAGGGGAGCCTCCATATGGCTTCCTCCCTTATTCAGTCTCCATTTCACCATCAGTGTCTGAGACTGACACTGACATCTCTAACCTAAATCGACCTACTTACATGGATCTACTGCATGCAGAACCACTGCTTTCTGCTGGGCCCTGAGTGTCAAAGACATATTTCTTCATGTCAAACAAACTTACTTGATGCTACTTTATTTTAGCTGTGCTTGGTTCCCATTAGGTTGAAATTTTCTTTAATCTTTAATAATAATTCAAACTATACTTATACTATGCTACTACTTGGTAGTGATAACAGGGAGACACAATTTTACAATTTACTATTTTGTGTTTGATGTGTTTACATTGAAAAAATAGGAAAACAACCAAAGACTAGGAGCATAGAACCACAATGCATAGAATGTGTCTAACTGATCTGTGCTTTGGCAGAAAAAAACAACATTTTTTAATCCTTCACGATCTCAGATTGATTTAATATTTACCCAAATATTAGCAGAGTATTTGCATATATGCTGTATGAGCTTATATACATTTTAGCCTAATATTAATCATTCTTCCAGCAGGTTTATGTGTAATGTTTTACTTTAACCAACATGGATTTTCGCATAAAAAGTAATATGAACTTTTTAAAGTGACCTTGCCAGAAGCCCTTAAAAAAGATGGGTGCAAACCAACAAAAAGGCCAAGAATAATTTTAACATGAATTACCATGTAGGCTAGAAATGGTATATTCGCCTCAGATAAGTGTTATTATGACTGTTACTCTGAATGAAACAGTAAATATTGAATTGCTCCTTTTCCAGGGAGGGGCAGACATCGCCAGAGCAGTGGCAGAGGACTTACGGACGCTGCTCTGGGAACGAGGTCTACCACATCCGTCTAGGTGACAGCAAGTTCTTTGGAGAGTATGATGGAAAGAGCTTCACTTATGCCTCCTTTCATGCCCACAAGAAGTTAGTAAATCCTCTGCTGGTGAATTAAGAATGAATTAGTATCATCCACGGGACAGAATGACTGAAAGCTGAGATCCATTTGGAATCGCCCTCTAGGTATGGAGTGTGTTTGATCGGAGTGAAGAGGGAAGACAACAAAAGCATCCTCCTGAATCCTGGACCACGTCACATCATGGCTGCTACAGACACCTGTTACTATATCAACATCACCAAGGAGGAAAACTCTGCCTTCATCTTCAAACAGGAGGAGAATCATGCCAAGGGTCTGACTGTCTCTGGCCTCTATGACGCCCCCTCCAGGCTTCCCGTTCACAGCATCATAGCCAGCATGGGTAAGAATGACAGCGTGGAAAGGAAACATTTAACCTAAAATCATTAGTGAGAGGTAGGCAGGGGTCTGAGAAGGTTGGCATGTGTGAAGAGAGTTTGGACGCTTCGTCCTAATCCTGAAAGCATTTTGTACATTTCTGAATGATGGCTGCCTTTCTACTGCTTTTGCATGATATTTTTAAACTGAATTTATGCTTTCCTTTACTTTATTGGCTGACTTTTTTTGTAATGTGCCTGTTTTTGTTTTCTGACCTGTGAAAGTTGATCAGGCAACCTCATATGGTAAGTTCATGCATGGATCATCTTTTGTTTAAACACCACAAAGTCTCATAAATAAAGATTAAATTGCTTTCTACTACACCCTACAGATACTTTGCTTAATGTGTTTATCCTTTTTAACATATCAGGTTTAAACACAATAGACTATGTATGCGCTGTGCATACAGCAAGTATGTTATACATGTAATAAATGCATTGAGGTATTGCCATACATCATATTATGAGCAGTCATATGATGTATGTCAGGAATGTTTTGCAAGCACTGCAGTTTGCATGCTATAGGCTGTTTATCCGGCATCTGCCTGAAAAGAAATAGATCTTCTCTTTCAGATGTAACATTTAGATCTACTGAATAATTTGAAAATACTGAGTGTCAGAAATGTACAAATGTAATTTTAATTGTAAAGTGCTGTTGTTTAATTTCTACAGTAACAATGCCAATGCTCTTTGGGTTTTTTTAAAATCCACTTGTTTTAATCTCAGGGACTGTAGCGATAGATCTCCAGCACCCCGATCCTCCTGGGGAAAGTGGAAAACTGACTCTACCTACTGAGAACGGGGCTGGAAGTCGAAGGCCAAGCATTGCACCCGTCCTGGAAATTGCTGACTCCTCCGCAATTTTGCCCTGCGACCTCCTTAGCGACCAGTCGGAGGATGAAACCAACCAATCAGATGAGGAGGGTTCTGTAGGGTCAGAGTAAGTGGCACAGACATGTTTAAATGTATGAACAAGCTGCAGCAGGGATCCGTGGGTCTGTGTTGTTCGTGATGGTTGCATTCTGTGCTTTGAAATTGATCAGTCTCACCCTTTTCTCTCTTGAACATCCCTTCAGTGGCTGTAGAAAGAAAGATGGATGGCGTTTCAGCAGGCTTATAATTGGTGTGTCATGATGCTGTAAGATGCAGTGATTCATATCAGGACAGGGAGGTTAGCCTTCTACTTTTAGTGCAGCTGATGCTCCTTAGATGCTTTGCTGTCAATGTTCCTGTTTAAGATAGCCACACAGAGTCACAATTGCAGCAGTTTAAAGAACAGAAAGTAAAGGAACTCAAATGCAGTGTGATATCAGCCGCCAAACCTAAATAGCACCTTTCAGAGCGATCAGAGCGATTTTTATCATTTGACATAACATGGTCTTCAGAGCCTCTGCTACTGCAGGCGCAGAGGTGGTGTTGAAGTTGTCTTTTTCTCCTCTGAAAGGTTTTTTTTTTTTTTAAGGAAGTGCAGAGATTTTAAAATGAAACTTAAGGTCCCACACTGCCATCATGTGGTGGTGTCGTCTAAGGGCTCAAACTGGCAAAGTTATAAGGTACAACTGATTGGGGTAATTGCATCTAAAGCATCAAACATTGAAGGCGACGCATCAAGTTTATGCTTTAATTTGCATTAAAGCAAGAAAAAAACAGGATATGTAATTTCATGTTAACATTCCTGTAGGCTGAAAAGCATCTGTTGAATGATTAAAATCTGCAGCAGAATCTGATACACACTGGGAACCTGAAGCCTCTCAGAGCGCCGGTTTATGTGGATTAATTATCCTATGGAATCAAACACACGATTTGATAAAACAAATAACTAAGGTAAACATAGAGATGCAGGTGCAGTTTTGCAGGAACCATAATTAGCATTAGGAAGTGGAAAGCTCTACTATGACGTGGGAGCTAGATCGGAGCTCGTCTTCCTGGCTGTGTTTCCTTTCTATGAAAATCAATCTTTACTTTTTGTCTGTGTTTATATGACCAATATGCCAAAGATGGGAATGAATATTATCAAAATGTTCTGTATTTCCCTTGTATTCATCTCCTCACCTGTAAATTTCTGTTTCCCTCCATAAGGTTTGTGAAGGGTTACCCTCCAAACTCTCCCTACATCGGCAGCTCTCCGACTCTGTGCCACCTCCTTCCACAGAAAGCTCCACCCTGCTGCCTTTGCCTCAATAAGGTGCAGTTTTACACTGAAATGGAGCTGTTGGATTTCCCCACATGCTTTTTCGTATTTTTTTTATTTATAACAGACAATGAGTAAGGTGATTTTTCTGCTAAAAGCCTGACGACTTCCTGCTGAACTCTGTCTCCACCCAGGGCTGCAAACATAATAGCTTTGAGGATGCTAAGTCTTATGGCTTCAAGAATAAGCTGATTATAGTGTCTGCAGAGATGGCAGGAAATGGGCTCTACAACTTCATAGTTCCCCTGCGAGCTTATTATCGGCCCAGAAAAGAGCTCAACCCAATAGTTCTGCTCCTGGACAATGAGTAAGTCTCTGTGCACCCCTGTTCCAGCCTGATGCATGATTATTTTCACTCCTACAAAGATACAGAACATAGAAATGTCATAATGACTGCCCCTAATGGCGTGTTCATTTACTACCAATTTAAAACAAGCCATAACTCCTTCCACCCGTGTTGATTAATTTTAGATTTATCCTTTTTTTTATTATTTATTTCAATCATTTTTTACCATGTTTGTATTTAAATAAAAAAAAAATCCTACAAATGTAGAGCCAGGAAAGCTCTAGCTGTTTTCCAGCTCTTGATGGATATCCATAAGCAGCTACTTTGCTCAATTAAAGATGGTTTCGATCCAGTTTGGAGGGAAATTCAGATAAATATATCCATTCCTCATTAGCAAGCAAATTTCAGGAAATAATTTGACTAGCTTCATAAACTGTCATTGGGGGTTTTGTCAGTATAATGGGTTTTGAATGTGTGCTGTTTCCTGCAGACCTGATAACCACTTTTTAGAGGCTATCTGCTGCTTTCCAATGGTTTACTTCATGGTTGGAACTATTGATAAGTAAGTGATCTCCAGTATATCATGATGATTCCTTTTAATATGAAAGAGAAAAGTAACACTACTTGATTACATTACTAGTAAAATGTATTCAATCTTGATCATTTAAATTAGATCCATGTGTTAGATAAGTTGTAGCGAGCTGTGGTGGGAAGCTGCCTGTGGTGTAGGGGGGTTGCTTTATGCTTCATGCAGGAAAACTGGTCACTGGTATTTCAATAAAAAAGATTTTAAACCATTTTTGGGGTATAAAAATATATTTCACCATTGAAATAAATCAAAAGATTATTTTAAACCTTTGCATATCTTAGTACTATATATATATATTTTTTTTTTACATAGTTATTTAGGTTATTTTTCAGCTTTTTTCATGTGTATCTACAGCTTTATAATATGAAAGTGTTAGTGTGAATTGTGTGTAAAACCTTATTTTAGGGGTCCCTGTATGTAAACCGGCTCATGTAAGGCACCTAGCTTATACCTAAATCAGCATCAGCTATTGTTATTAAAATGTAGATTCAAAATGATTCCCAACTAGATCACATAATCACTTAGCAGTTTTAACAAGCATGATTAGGAAGGGTTTAGTTTGGCTCTGATGATACAGTCACTGATTCTCATAAAATTGTTAGGTTGAGTTTGTTGAAGACCCAAATGCAGAGATGCAAGCTGTTGTTTCTTGAAGATTTAATCACAAATGGTGGCAACAGAAGCAAAAATAAAGAAATAACTAATCAAGGGACACAGGAACCAGAACAAAGGGGGAGGAATGAAGAGAATCCAGCAAACATTACCTGCAGAGGAGGAGTATAAATGCCAAACAGAAGAAAGAATATAGTAATCAACTGATTGGGAGCAGGTGTGGGCGAAAGGATCTAGAAGGGAGCTAAAGGAAAGGAGACTATTGCAAGGAAGCAACAGAGAGTAAACATGAAATATATAAGAATTCGAATACAAAATTTGAAATGAAAAATACAAAAAATAGAAAATGAAACCTAGAAAACACAGATTGATATAAATTAATTGTAACTGAAAACTGAAAAAAGAAAATTTAAACAGAATCAAAAAGTCCCGAAAGGCCAAAATCATGAAACAAATAAGCCGGATTTGGCTTTTGCTGCCCTACAATAGAGTAGACTGAATGATTTCAACATGATTTTATAAAGTAAGTAAAGTAGAAGTTACTTTTACTGTGCAAATGACTTATGATTCTCTCTGAAATGCACCAGTTTGGACAACCTGCTCCAGTGCGGTATAATCTATGCTGATAACCTGGTTGTTGTGGACAAGGAAAGCACCATGAGTGCTGAGGAAGACTACATGGCAGACGCCAAGACTATTGTCAACGTCCAGACAATGTTCAGGTAACAGAGAGACTGAATACTTTTTTCTCCCTTTAAATATTATATGTATTTTTTTTTTTTTTTAGCTTCACTAAAAAAATAAAAAAATCTAATGATGGGATTTAATGTTTTCATCTTTTTAATGAACAGAGAATGAACTGATACCAAAGACTACTCTCTGTCATTGTGGTGCTCTTCGTGGTGCTAAAAAATAATTAAAAACATTTATCATAGCCCTGAACGTTCCTCGTTTTTGGCAAAAATCTTTTATTCTTTTCACCAAAGAATCATTGTTTCCTCTTCCTCACCCAGATTGTTCCCCAGTCTAAGCATCATCACAGAGCTCACACACCCATCTAACATGCGGTTCATGCAGTTCAGAGCAAAGGACTGCTACTCGCTCGCTCTGTCTAAACTGGAGAAGGCAAGTGTTCAAAGACTTTAGTCTGTTTTAGACAGTGACAAATGTTAAAATCAATCATGCAACCACATCGTGAGAAGATATATGTGATTTACACAAGTGCTGATGTGACTCTTTTAATCGTTTTGCATGGGAACCACCTTAATATTAGTCAGTATCTTTAATCATCCTTTTAACTGCTTTTTATTTTGAACGTTTCTTCCTTAAGATGTTTATCCTTTGCTTTATCTATTTTAAAGGTCTTGTGGCATCCTTGTCTTATTATAAATTTTTATACATGCATTTAGAAATAATGATAAAATACTGTTAAAATGATTCTCACACCGCCAAAATGAGAAGTGTGTCACTCATTTCTGTTGGAGCTGCTTTTTGCTTTCTAGGATAGAATGAAAATGATTGGCTTTTAGAACTCATGTCTTATTCAGATCATGCTTATATATAATTTTTCATTCACGATACGTACCCATATCTGAAGTTACTTTTGTGTAAATAATGTATACTGACCTGCTGGTCCTTGAACCTTCTGGTGAAAGTCTTTTCTTTGGCTAACTTTTCGCATTAAATGCAATAAAACGCATGAAAATAACATCTTCCTTCAATGTCCAGCTCCGTCTGTAACATATCAGGCCCTCTGACAGGACTTTTCCAGTGAATTCAGACGTTTCTCATTTGAGTTAAGTTGTCGAAGAAATCCTCAGATCACAGCAGTCTGTGCTTGGGCAGACCAGCCTAGATGTCCATCAGCTTTAGAGCTCAGGTCAAGGCAGAGCTTATCCTCTTCACTGCAGAAAAGTGGAGCAAACTGATGTCTATTGCTGCAGTATTCCTGCAACCAAGAGGCAATGTGCTTTTCTTGATATTTACTCTGTTTATGTACTGTTTATAACTGGCATTGGTGCAATAAATGACCCTGCATTTCCCTTTTAGTATCACTTCATTTTTGGGTCACAATTCTCTTTAACTGTGTATTTAATCTAAACAGAGTGTAAAGTAAAACCCAATTAATATGCTCAATTAATATGCTTTTCCTACAATTTATGTTTTTTTTTATTTGATTTAAAAACAAGAAACCAGATTGACCTTTTTTTTCTTTTATTAACACAGTGACATTAGACCATTTAAGCATTAACAGTCTAATTGATATTAATCAAAGGCAGCTAAATTGAATTTATTTTTATATTGCTAGTTTACTATAGATTTTTTCTCAATTACATTTTTTAGACATAACCAGATTAGTTCTTAAACCATTTAAAGATTCTACATTTGTTAAAAATCAAATTCAAAATACTCCATTTGAATCCAGTAAGATCTACATGTATAAAAATAGTGATATCTAACTATATACAGTCCAGTTCAATACAAAAAAGCAATATATTGCCAGTTGGGAGAAAGTTATCTAAAGAAGTGTAACATTCTCCACTGAGTCATTCTGTTTTGCTATAATCCCTCATTCTGACCGAGCAAGCATATGGCAACAGTAGAGAGAAACCACTCCCTTATAACAAGAAATTCCCAATGTAATCAGGATCACTTTGAGGTCTAATTTACTAAAAACAGGAATAGGAGTTCATCCTACAGAATTAAAGGAGGGTGAACAAAGTTCATATTAGCAAAACAAATGGTGTATTTTAACATATAAAAATAGACTAGAGGACCTTTCTGTGGGTAAGAACAAAAGAACGCATAATAGAACAGCTAATAAAAACAACAAAGGCTTGGCCAATGGAACACAATAGGCCATAGGTTTGGAAAACAGATAAATGTTCTATAAATTAGTTTATACTTGGAACAAAATGAAATTAGTATTTTTGTAGACTTGGCTTCATTCTAACAGCATATTATCTGAAGAAACATGATGATTATCTAAAGAAGCATTGACATTATGACTGTCATTAGTCTGGTCAATCCAAAAGATAAGCCTTATTGTTAGCATTTATTTAGAAATGGTCTGATGTGCAATGAGAGAAACGTTTGGATTTACTGATTTAATTCATCCTGGAAATCTATCATGTTTTGGCATTGTCTGCAAACGTTTGGCATTTACCTTCCATTAAAAAAAAAAATGTCTATGGATCATTTCTGATCCTGCCTCTCCAAATAGGCAAATATATGCTGTTTTATCATTTTAATCAAAAGTCCCTTGTGGTTTTCTTAATTTGTTTGTTTCTATCACATCAAACAAACAAACAAAAAAGTAAATCAGACTTTTTAAGAAAATGACCATAGTAGCCATTCAAAATTTCCCCACTTTCCCTGATGGGCCCTTGGCTGGTCCTTGGCTAGTCCGCTACAATGCTTTTTTAAACATCAATCTTTGTGCTAGAATATTCTTTCTGTCATGATTTGTGGATATTAAATTTTTTAGATTTTAATATCCACAAATCATGACAGACCCTGTAATTCCTTGAAAGGGTGGAGTCAGAGTAAAAAATATGCACTCCCAGTAGAAGGAGGGGGTCACTGCAGTGGCTGGAAGTGGCTGAAGTGGCTGGAAGTTTGAGGGGGTTTTGCTGGGACTTGCAGGAAAGTGGGCTGCTATTCGGCTGCAATTTGCCTGGGAAGGGTCATTTTTAATGGCTGCTACTGTACCTTCACATTTCAGTTGAAAGATGCGTCCAAACCTGCCGTCTGTTTCCTTTCAGCTTACATGTTATGCAAAATAAAATGCACCTGTCTAATAACCTGGAAATTTGTCCAAGTTTCTACTTTTTCTACATTTTGTCTCGTTTTTCAGATTGAGAGAGATAAGGGCTCCAACCTGGCCTTCATGTTCCGGCTGCCATTCGCTGCCGGCCGGGTGTTCAGTATCAGCATGCTCGACACGCTGCTATACCAGGTGAGATAACCCACCCTGGCGTTTAACATTCTCTCTTTACAGAAAAGATCAAAGTAGTTCTAGACCTAAGGCAAGTACGGACCTAGAAGTAGACTAACTAGTCTTCTTGTAGCTTTTATCAGTTAATTTAGTGGTAAATTCTCATCTGGACTATTTTTTCCTCTCTTGACAGTCATTTGTTAAGGACTACATGATCGCTATTATAAGACTTCTCCTTGGCCTGGACACCACACCCGGCTCTGGTTACCTGTGTGTTGTAAGTAAAAAGGCCTGAGAGTTTGACTGGATAAACATGTGCAGGCTAAAAGCTTAGTCTTCCTTCCTCAGATGAAGATCACAGAGGAGGACTTGTGGATCAGAACTTATGGGCGGCTTTTCCAGAAATTTTGTTCTTCCAGTGCAGAGATTCCCATCGGCATCTATCGCACTGAGTCCCACATGTTCTCAACGTCGGAGGTAAGTTTGATGAATTCGCTCATGTCAGATCCCAGCCGATGCATCAAATCTGACATTAATATACAACAAAAAATATAATTATATAATTATATATATATATATATATATA